AATTATGTGTTTCTTTATTTTAAAAAGAGAATCTGAATACCTACCAATTTTCATATCCATAATATTTTCAATGTCTTAAAAAAAAATCCACTCCTCTGTAGCAAGAAATTAAAAGAAAACGTATATTTTTTAATATTTATCATTGGTCTTGAATGTAACATTTTTGGTTTTTAAATATAATAGACATCCTCATATAAATATTTTCCCACCATTATAAATAGAAAACAGGCATATCTTTATTTTTAAAGTCGAAACAAAAATAACATTCTAAATTTTATATGTTAAATAGTTTGAGCTATGCATTGATAAGTCAGTCAGAATACTTTATAAACAGGATAGTAGTAGTTAAAGGTTATTAAAATTATATTTTTTAATGACATACTATTAACTGTAAAAATTACGAATTATTTCACTCTCACCCTGTACATAGTTTGGCAGAATTTTTTTATATTATTGGTGTTTGCAAATTAATTAAAGTTATATCATTTATGAATTGTAATAAGTTATTATTTACCTTCATCCACTGTCAATTTTTGTCTAGTATTTACTGATGGTGGTCTTATCAATGAACATATTTTGGCTTCAAGTAAGGAAGCAACATGTTTAAATCGTCGATCAGCCATTACATGACACTTTAGCAAAATCTCCAAATATTTTCTTTTGGAAATAATGTCAGTATCACTAATTCTTCCTCCAAAGCCTTCTGAAATAAAATTAATAAATCCATTGGGGGTACAAGAAATTAAAAATTTATTATAATGTTTGTATTCTGACCATGTACTAGATTGTATCAATGGATTAGAAGGTTTTTAAATTGCAATTTCAAAACAATCAATGATGCTTTGAATTTCATTATATCTTGCTCTAAAAGACAGCGGCAAGTATTTTTTATATCTTTTTCAGGCCAAAATATTAAATGTAAAACAGTGGCAATTTTTGGCACAGAATCAACAAAAATAGATCGCGGGAGATCAAAATATCTTCCTATTCTAATATATGGATTATACAACCTAATTTTCCATAAAGTATAATATGATCTGAGAGAATTTGTGCTTTCTTAGAAATAAAATCAACCATTTTATATAAATCATCAGGAATTCCTAAATTAAATTTGGAATGTTGTTTTATTAAATATAAAGTAGAATCCTTCCTAGAACTAGGCCTATGCAGGTTTTTTTTCAAACTAGATTTTAGTTTAGACTCGGTCAGTTTTTGCAATGTTAAAATAGGAGAACAACTTTTTTCTGCAACTGATTACTGTTTTAAATTCTGTGTTTTCACTTTTCTCTAAATAATGTATCTGAAATAAGTAACTCAATATGTGATGTTACCTTCATACGTTTTTCATTTGGTAATTCACTGTCAGTTTTTTTTTTTATAATTTATTGGCCTACATAGCTAGGATGATACAGCCATTTGGTAACAACAGGTAAATAATTACAATATTTTACAGCTTAATTTTAGACATTTGTATAAATTTTGATATTTTTTTAACATTATCGAAAGACAGAAGTTTAAACAATACATCAAAAAGTGTTACAGGAATTATAAATTTTTTTGGAATATCTAAACTCTCCAAAAATGTATAAATACTGTCAGTTTTGAAAAGCTTTCTGGCAACTGTGATGATACAATGTGCTTGAATGAGGTTGATGCAAAACATTCTTCTTGTTTTCCAATACATTTCAAAGTTTCAATTCTTCTTTTTTTGGTAGAGTCAGTTAAAGGGCTTTTAATCGGAATTTTAGGCGGTCTATCAATAATTTTGAACTGCATCCTGTTTTTTGTATCTTCTTCCACCTAAAAAGTAATTTTTTTTAATAAAAACAAATTCATAAATTTATTTATTAGTATACACAAGCTCGGTGTTAAATAATAAGGTATATTAATCTACAAAGTCGATCAACTATGTTTTATAGTAACTAGATTCGTTACTAAGAGCGTGTTCCGAAATATAGTAGTGTTTAAAATTTATGTAATAGTTGTTATTATCGGCCCTAGTCGGCGAACGGCCAATGAGGTTATGGAACAAATAAATGTCATAGGAGTCGATTTTTTATTGGTTTCAAACATCGGTCGTAAATTTCATATTATTGTGATCTGGAGCCCTATTCTCCAAGTTGAATGATGTGAACATGCCACTGTGGGATGTGAAGTGTCCTATCACCAATTTGTTCTCTCGGTCATCGTATTCGGTATTCTTAAATCATTCACATCTCATAGGTTCACGGAGCACCGCTGCCAAATTTAAGTTGTGCGTTAGAACTATTTTAGAAGGCACTTTACTTCAATTTTTTATTATTTTTTGACAATTGTAATAACAGAATATATTTTCCATTATTTTCTATTAAATCCCGTGCCAAAGGTTTACTTAGACGAACATTTTTTATGAATATTGGGTCAAAAGGATCCTCTTTTCTTAAAAAAATTATATTTGGTCGATTGGCATCTTCTTCCGCTTCAGCTAGATCATTCAAAATATGAATATAAATAAGAGCTTCGTTCAAATCCATTTTAATTAAAAAAGTGACGTTTTGATAGCGCACGACAATGACAGTTCTCCCGTAATGATGCTCTTCTACTGGTTTTGACTAAGAGAAGTATGTTCTCTCGATTTTCATGCGAAGTGATCATTCACTTCAATTCAAGAATACCACTCACACACTTTTTAAGAGAAAGGCTGTCCAGTTCGCATGAAATGATCATTCTCTCAACTGGAGAATAGAAAAGTGTGTCTAAAACGAACTGTCACTGTCAAATAAAATTCAATATGGTCTTTGATTTGTTGACGTTATCAGAAATATGTTTTTCTTGCTTTTGATATCGACTTTTTGAGAATAACTATGATCTTTTTAAAATAAATATTATGTGATAAACTAACTCCTTGTTTATCGAAGAAAATTAATTAGAACTCATTTTATATAAAATCCCAATTTATTCGCATACTTTATGCATGCCAACTCAATACATCCATACATTCTGGTTTTTACATTCTACCTATCCTTTTTGATATATCAGCACACAACGTACATCATGTAACAACCGGGTTATTGCTGAGTAGACAGTCCTTAAAGTCAATAACACTAGAGTTGAATTATTTAATTGTCGATGCACTAATACAGGAAATTATGAAATATACTTATAACTATTCAACTATAAAATATGTAAAATAATAAATATCATTACAATTAAATAATTAAGAAAATTGTTAAAAGAATAATAAAATGCGGGTTAGTATTAAATATAAAAATATGTAAAAGGTAATCAGTGAACGGCAATTGGATCACACACTGACTGGAATTTCGCCTATGAATATAATATGGACATTGTAGCTTATTTAGTGTTAACTCATAGGCAATACACTAAAGGGTAAATGAAGGCATTTAAAAGTTTACAGGTTTATGAGTCAGGATTTGGTTTGAAAATGGAACACTATATGTCAACATTATATCATTATTAAAACTTAACTTATATTGTAGGTCCTTTTAACTCTAGTTGTATTTTTTAACTATATTTTTTAGTTTAAAATTAACTTTTCATACATACCTATGAAATAATGCTGGTTACATATTTTTTAATATTTGTAGTGAAAGTAATGTTAGCTTATTATACTAAATTAATATTATATCTAATAGGTTTGTTCCAATATAAACCAAATCAGTTTGTGTACTTTCGGGAATCTGCGCAGTCTAGAGTTCGTGTTCCAACAAACCTTAGACTTAAAAAAGTACAAAAATATAGTGTTTCAACACAACCAAAACTAATCAAGCCGATTTGTGTACTGTCAAATCAGTTTGTAGGTCTGAGTAGGAACGAATTATCAAGACATGCGCAAAGCAGCAATAAACTGAACATTTTGTGATTGTAATTATATTATTTGTTTCTATTGTCTCTGACAGTTCTGATTTGTATTTGTTAATCGAATTTAGTCTTCATAGTTTTTGTTCATTGTCATTTATTTTATTTTGTAGTTTATTATTGTAATAGTACATCTATTGAATTTAAAAAATGTGTTCCAACATAATCGAGTTCCCAGTTGAGTCCCAATCCCCGACCAGTACCTGATAGGTTGTCAATTACTAGTCGTCGACAGATTGTCAACAATAAGTCTTTGACTGGTTTATGTATTTTTCCAAAATCGTTGTTGGAACAAACCTAATGCAGTAGATGGTATTTTGTGAGTTAACAATTTTGTAAATGGTTTTATTATTTTCTAATCAATAAAATTTACTTAAATATTTAGTTACTTTTTAATCATTTTAATAAGAAATTTATTAATTTTTAGTTTTAAAAAAAATCAGTAATAAAGTTGTTTGTTTTTTTTTTTTTGAAATACTTTGGAATTCATCTCTTCATGGATTTCTTCAAAACCAATAATGTACTTTTCTACAAAACCTTCAGAATCAACATGTAAAATAATAAGTCGTCTTCCCTTTCTTGTAGAGCTTTTCAGGAATTGCTACCCTTGATAGTACTCGATGAAGACGGATCCATAATCGTAAAAATTTAATACAATTGCTTACTGAAGTTCTGAAAAGAACTATTATTTACGAAATAAAGTAAAAAACTAAGTAAATGATGAGATATCAAAATATAAAATGTCAGAACTATCAACAATATCAATTATTAGCTGATGTTAATGCTGAAAAGTGATGTGTCTATAGGATTGCCAACTTAAATTCAAATCGCTCCTCCTAGTTTAAAAATAGAGTATGGACTTTCTGAGAACTATGGCCACATTACAATAACGCTATGAGATACAAAGTTCATATTTTATAGATATGATCTACAAAAGTCAGTTAACTAACAGTCAAAAACATTAATCAAACCACCACTTAAAAATAGGTCAGGGGTGGAGCTTAGAGTTCGACCCTCGTAAGTACCCACAAGTTACCATTTTTAACCGACTTCAAAAAGGAGGAGGTTCCCAATTCTTTGTAACATTTTTCATTTTAAAACTTATTTTTCAATTTTGTGAAATATGAATTATTTTTTTTTAGGCAGAAATGGCTGTAAAATCCGACGGTTTTACAGACATCGACATGGCCACGTTGGAATCGGTTCTAGCTAGAGAAACGCTCAACTGCAAGGAAATGAAGCTCTTGGAAGCGGCTCTCAATTGGGCCGCCGCCGAATGCGTCCGCAGAGAACTGGACGTTACGCCGCAGAATAAACGTGAAATTCTAGGGAACGCCCTTTACTTGATCAGGATACCGACAATGTCTTTGGAAGAATTTGCAAACGGTGCTGCGCAAATCGGAATTTTAACCCAGCAAGAGATCATAGATATTTTTTTTCATTTCACTGCTACTAACAAACCTTGTCTACAGTATCCAGTCAAACCCAGATCTGGGTTAAAATCTCAGGTAAATTAAAATGTATATGACAGTTAACTTTTTTAACTTACATTTATATAAAATTATAGTAATTTAAGTAAAGTAAAAAATTATACAAAAAAGAAATCAGTACTCAACAAATAAAATTATTAGTTTCGTATTATGTTAGAGCCACTATACAATTCGAATTTTCTTTGGTGCAAGTAAAATAGCGGAAATTTCTATTAGGTAATTCAAATCACGTGAATTTAAATGGTGGCCTCTGCAAAAACAACAAAAGTACGTACTTCCCTTGACAAAAACACTTCTAGTGAGGTTATTAGTCTAAGCTTGTATTATTCTGGAGCGTTTAGAGTTTTTTAAGTGTGTTTAGTTGAAAAATGGCATAGTTTAGTATTTATTTTGAATATATAAATACTAATTGTATGATTTACAATGACAGTCAAATACTAATGTAAAAGTCAGGTTAACAAACTTTGTTTTCGCCAAGCATCGGCCATTTTTGTCCATTCTGATAGGACATTGGATTGCCTTATTGAGTCGCAAAAGACATTGCTGTCTGTATTACACTTTGATTCATTGCAAAAACTTCTCTAACTTAAGTCACTGAACAGATACACCAACTTAAGACACCGAACATATACACCCACTTAGTTTGGGAAACAGGTTTACCAATATAACAAGCTAATTAGGGTTAGGAAAACATACCATTTAATAATTAAGTATACCTACCTCATTAATCATTCTTTCATATGCCAGTGTGTTAGTTTTCTCAATCAAACACAAAATATGTCAAATGTCAGAAATGTTATACTTCATTCGTTTTTTAACTGATTTGAAATAAAAACCTTTTCATTTGAGCTAACTTTCATCTCATTTAACTTTCTCAATGCGATGATGTCATAGTGCACTTGAGGTATACTTGAGATCAGTTACGTCATCACTGGCGCTATAATGTCATTAGTGGTAATGTTTCGTCTACTCATTGAAAAAGTTTAATGGATAGGGGGATGTAAATTAGCTAAAATGAAAGAATTTTAATTCCAAATACCCTCATTGTGATAATTAAAACATAAAAACAATACAAATTAAACAGGAAACAATGAAGATGATGAAAGATACAAGTGAAACCAAGTACCACATTGACATACGGAATTTCTGTCCAGCATAAAATGCCTCTGGTTATATAATAACCATCTAAAAAAAGGAATCAGGCCTTCACAAGTGTGTGACTTTTAATGGAAAATGTCTTAGAGAACTAAAAAAAAAGCTATTTTTATTTAATTGTGTTATAATGGTTATTTAATGCTATAATACATCAACCAATGACAATCATCTTTTATTCCAACAGACGCCAATCAACACAAACTGTAACACTCAATTCCCATTGGTTTTAAAAAAATTTATTCATTACCAGAGGGCTGCATTAGGGTGGCCCTTAGTTACGCTTGGTAAAAAAAAATAATTCTTTCTTCGCGTTACCTCCTCGTTTGGTGCTATTGTATAAAAAAAATCTGTAAAATTTCAGCTTAATCTGATAAAGGGAAAGGGTGTCCCAAGAGCCTTGAAAATCGAAAATATCTTTTATTTATTAAGTAGAGAAATATTAATTATATGCAAAAAAGTATTATACAAAAGTTCTAGATCTATAAAAAAAGCATATTTGTATCTAGAACTTTTTCGTAGGACTAACCATTTTCGAGAAAAACTTGAAAATCATTTTGTTACAAATCCACGCGACGTTTTATACACTCTGTAACACAGAACGAAAGTCTATGAATCAAAAATAAAAGCTGAAAATACCCAAACTGGTATTCTCGTGATTTAATACTTAGCTTAAAAAAAAACAACACTTTCTAAAATTGTATAATAAAGATAAACTTCTCTTTTATCTACAACGTTATAAAAACCTAAGACTAATTGTAAAACGTGATATAACTTGCTGTTATAATAGATTCATTCAAAATTCAGAAAATAACATTAAACTAAATCCCCGACGTTTTTGGTCATATATTCAATCCAAACAAAATAAAACTAGGATTCCCGGGAAAATGTCATACAGTAACGAAACCCTAACCACTCCCCAATCTATTGTGAATGCTTTTGCCAGGCACTTTGGTAGCGTGTTTAGTGATGGATCTGATGATGAGATACTTGATGATGTTGATACAAATCCTAGTAATTTTCTTCATATTAGTTATATATCTCAAGATCAAATTATCAACGCAGTTAATAAATTAAAAAATAAGTTAACCTGTGGTCCTGATAATGTTTCATCCAAACTGGTGAAAAATTATATAGGTTTTTTGTCAGTACCCCTCTTTTACATATTTAATCGTATACTACAAGAAGAGGTCTATCCAGACATTTGGAAAATATCTAGAATCTGTCCCGTTTTCAAAGCTGGTAAAGTTTCTGATATATCAAATTACAGACCAATCGCATTCATCTCAGTTTTTTCCAAAATTTTTGAAATTATATTTTCTAATATATTATATTCCCACGTAAAAAATTCAATCACGGAATACCAACATGGTTTTGTGAAGCTCAGAAGTACCGCGTCAAATCTGTGTACATTTACGCAATACATATCTAGTTCTTTAGATTGTAGAAATCAAGTTGACGTCGCATACACAGATTTTAGTAAAGCGTTTGATAAGGTGTCTCACAAACAATTGCTTCTGAAACTGAGACAATTTGGTGTTTCAAAGAGTATGCAATCACTGTTAAAGTCTTTTTTAACTAATCGACAGTTATATGTTGAATATGAGAGTGCCAAATCTTTTAATTTCGTGTCAACGTCAGGGGTTCCTCAGGGCTAGAATTTGGGCCCTTTATTATTTGTTATTTTTATTAATGACATCTGTCATTGTATCAACTCTAAGAAACTCTTGTTTGCAGACGATATGAAAATTTATAGGGAAATAAAGGATACCTCAGATTGCATTGCTCTTCAAAACGACCTTGTAAACTTACATAACTGGTGTATCGTAAATAAACTATCTTTGAATACTAACAAATGCAAAGTCCTGTCCTTTTCCAGGAAAGTAAACACTGTCTTATACGACTATCAATTAGATAATCAGCAAACTGACTTTTTCGGAACACATTGAAAATTCTGTGCAAAGTGCAACAAAAATCTTGGGTTTTGTTATTAGAAACTGTAAAAAGTTTAAATCTTTAGAAGCCATCTTCTCTGTTTATTTTTCACTAGTTCGTAGCAAACTGGAGTATTGCAGTTGTGTTTGGAATACTAACCATTTAAAGTACATAAGTGCATTAGAATCTGTCCAAAGAAAATTTTTAAAATTTATTTACTTTAAAACACATGGCCGTTATCCTATTCGTCACTATGATTATAATTTATTGTTAGAAGAATTCAGTTTTGTGAGTCTGAGAAAAAGAAGAGAAATAGCAGATTTGATATTCATCTATAAATTAATTAATAATTCTATAGATTCATCTTCTCTGCTATCTCAATTTAATTTTCATATCCCACGTATTACATCAAGGTCAAATATAACATTTCATATTCAAGTGCCAAATTCACAACATCACTTTCACAGTCCTTTAACTACAATGTGTAGAAGTGTTAATCAGTATTCTGTTGATATATTTTTTCTAAAATTTTACCAATTTAGAGAGCAATGTTACAGATTGGTATCAAATTAGGTAATTAGAATGTAATTTAGTTAAGTAAGTATTCTCAAACTTTGTATTTTTAAATATTATATTATATACTCCTGTAATTGGGCTGATAAAGCCTGTTGGATGTATTAAATAAATAAATAAAAATAAAAGCTGAAACAAGGTGTGACGGCTCAAAGTTGTCTCAACTCAACAAGTCGACAGTTCTATACTGAAATTTGGCTGAGTGAGAGCAAGTTTTATGTCACAATGTGTTCTACCCGTTTACGTGACAGAATTTATTTACTCGGGCATTACTCGCATAATATAACTGGATGTAAATTTCCATCAAATAAACAGTTATTTAATTATCGTGTAGTGAAGTTAACTTTATGAGAGAGCGGTAAAAAGTACGAATTCCATCTCAGGAGATGAGAAACTGTATACCAAAATTAGAAACTATGTACCAAGAATGGAGAAAACTTCAAAAACACTCTGGGAGACTATTGAAAACTAAAAAAAAAATTTTTATCGAAACTTGGTCTTTTTGACATTGCACATGCTAACGCTTTGAACATGATCATACCATGTGATCTTTGAATGCAAAGCTCTTACTGGGCGACGTTTCAACCAAAGTCACAGGACTATTCCAAAGATAGTACCTGAATACAGGGAAAGCAGGGGAATACAATAGACCCAAGAGGCCGCAGTGTTCTAAGTTAAACCTAACCCTACTTGCTTATAACCGACAGAGATAAAGATGTACAGAATTGATTTCTCATATAGGTAATTTTTGCTTGTTTTTGTTAATATATTTGATGTCATCATTAAACCTCTTCTTTTGTTTTTAAGCAAATATTTATCAATTAATAAAGAAAACTAAATGTTGAAAAAACCCATGCAGTGATATTTACATCTCAATACAAATATAAAGAATAGAAATTGTTACATCAGTAAAGTACTTGGTGTTTTACAATTTGTGATAATTTTATTTTGAGTGTGTATATCGAAACATGGTTTTGTGTGCCTTCTGCTGTCAAAGCACTGTATCAGGATTTCAGGGTTCTTTCAAAACTTTTTACATATCAAGCTAGCGATCGTGATATCTCTCATGTTGCTTTACAAAAACTAAGCAATCATTTATGGTATTTGGGCCCTGAAGTTGTCGCATTAGCTTTCTTTGATCCAAATTTGCCATTTTAATGGAAAATAAAAATGGTCAATGCTTTAAATCGCGAAACAGAATTATCAATCAACAATGAGAAGCGAATACAAATACAAATCGATGAAATCCCACAAATTGTGATGGTACTAGTCTTTGGATGTTTTACGTCACCATGTATTATTAATAGCAAATAAAAATCAACTCGATTATACGAAAGTTATTTATTGAATCCTTTATTCTTCGATCACTTATTTCAACGAACCTACACAATTGTTACGTCGTCGAAATAAGTGTCAAATCAACACATTATAAAATATAATATTAAATAATAAAATACATTCCTTAACATTATATCCAAGTTCAAAGAACTATAACAACTATAAAAATTATATACAGTATGATAATATATAAAAGTACTTATATTATTACAAAATTATCAACGACGGAATTGAACTATTCGTTTTCTCCGAAACTAAAAAATTTTTCAAAAGAATTTACTTGGATGATGAATTCCTTAGAACAGATCCGTCGACGTGGCTACAAAATGAATGTTTTTTGAACTGTCTGGAATTAGTGAATAAATTGAAAGTTGTAAATGATTCGTCTGAGAGAGGGGTGAAGCTTATGGAACACTATAATGAATTATTTATGAAAAACGAACAACAAAAACAGTGTATATGCTTCAGATTGTAAGTGATTATCGCCGAAAATTTCCAGACTCCAAAAAAGAGACTTTATATCTGCAAGATTTGTAGTAAAAAAAGATTTTTTACATTTTTTTATAGATTTACAATTTTTATATACTGGATTTTTACTTCTTAAATTTAAGAAAGAAATTTTTTTTTTACCAAACTGGGGGTAGTGCAAAGAAAATTCAAACTTTGAAAAATAAGTGCTGCATCAATGATTTATGCGGGGCGTCAATGTAAAGAATAGTCGAAAAATGGACAAAAATAGTTTTTGTTATTAATATACAGGGTGATTCACATAAGAACCGACATAGAGCAGGGGCATATAGGGGGTCCCAAAATATGGCAATTTAACGCAACTTACCTCTATACCAAGTTGCTTCCCTAAGGAGTTATAGGCTTTGAAAGTGAAGTTATAAATTTTGAAAAAAATCAATATCTCCGTTATTCTTGAACTTAAAGCAACCAAATTTGGTACACTTTGTGGATGTATTTAGGGCGTTACTTGACAGTAACTAGAGTTTAATTGAAATTTGTAAAGGGGGTATACTGGGTGGCGCACCATTAATATTCAACAGAATTTTGTTAACCCTTGATGGATTTTAAAAATCTTTGCTTTGTTTTGTGGGCAATTCAATTCTTAAACTTTTCTTACTCTAGTAATTTTTCGAAAAAACTCATCATTTTCATCAAAAACTCGAATAACTTAAAACGCGCGCTCTAGGTGTGTTATTTAAAATCATCGAAAATTCAAAAGTTGGCTATGAAAATAAACGTCAAACTTGACAATGAAGCAAGTAAGTTGTTCAATTAAGTAATTGTTGTTTGAGTGTTTTTAAAATGAACTGGAAGTTTTCTTTTAACGAGCAAGTTGACATGCTGTTAGTGCTAGGTTTTTGTGAAGGAAACTGTAGAAGAAGTGTAGAAGAATATCGTAGAAGATTTCCTAACCGTATCATTCCCCATAGAGAAACATTTTCTAATGTTGAAAGACGAGCTAGAGAAACGGGCAAGTTTCTCAATAATACTCGAGAACGTGCTGTCGCACTCAGGCCACAAGTTGAGGTAGCCATTTTAAATGCTATTCAAGATGATCCACATATTAGTACTAGGAATTTATCTCGACAAATTGGTATATCGCAGAGTTCTGTGCATCGAGTTATCCGTCGCAATCTACTACACCCTTATCATGTACAAAAGTCCAAGAACTTTTACCCGGAGATTTGGTTCAACGTGTCAATTTTTGTCAGTTTATTCTACACCAAGATAATAACTTCCAAAAGAAAATTCTTTTTACGGATGAGGCGACTTTCACTCGCAGAGGTATCACAAATCTCCATAACCCACATGCAATAACTCCTCGGCATTTCCAACGTGAATTCAAAATTAATGTTTGGATGGGAATTATTGATCGATATTTAATTGGTCCTGTTGTTTTACCGAATCGGCTGAATGGTGAAAATTATTTAGAATTTCTACAAAACACCCTTCCGTATCTACTTGACGAGGTACCTTTACAACTAAGGTTGCAACATTGGTTTATGCACGATGGAGCACCGCCTCATTTTAGTATGAACGTAAGAAATTTTTTAAACCACCAGTATCCCAATAGATGGATAGGAAGAGGAAATAATTGCCCACAACGTTGGCCCCCAAGATCACCTGACCTGAACAAATGTGACTTCTTTCTGTGGGGAACGTTGAAAGAATTTGTGTATTCTTCGCCCGTTGCGTCTCAAGAAGAATTATGGAATCGCATTATTCATAAATGCACATCTATTAGGAATAATCAACAGTTATTAGATAGGGTGGATTTTAATTTTCGAAGAAGAATAAATTTATGCGTAAGAGAAAACGGCGATCATTTTGAACAATTTCTTTAATTTATCGATAAACAATTGTTTGTTCTGGTTGTTGTTTAAGTTTTTTGTGTTTATTTTGGTTAGTTGTTAATCCCAGTTTTTCACATTTCAGTATCTGTACTTACTTTAAGTTATTTTGTTACGTATCTAAATAATAATTTGCCAGCCAATTCCTACTGATCACATTAAATGACCTACTTTCTTGTTTGACGTTTATTTTCATAGCCAACTTTTGAATTTTCGCTGATTTTAAATAACACACCTAGAGCGCGCGTTTTAAGTTATTCGAGTTTTTGATGAAAATGATGAGTTTTTTCGAAAAATTACTAGAGTAAGAAAAGTTTAAGAATTGAATTGCCCACAAAACAAAGCAAAGATTTTTAAAATCCATCAAGGGTTAACAAAATTCTGTTGAATATTAATGGTGCGCCACCCAGTATACCCCCTTTACAAATTTCAATTAAACTCTAGTTACTGTCAAGTAACGCCCTAAATACATCCACAAAGTGTACCAAATTTGGTTGCTTTAAGTTCAAGAATAACGGAGATATTGTTTTTTTTTCAAAATTTATAACTTCACTTTCAAAGCCTATAACTCCTTAGGGAAGCAACTTGGTATAGAGGTAAGTTGCGTCAAATTGCCATATTATGGGACCCCCTATATGCCCCTGCTCTATGTCGGTTCTTATGTGAATCACCCTGTATACATTTTAAATTCAGAATCGACATCATCATATGGAAACAAAGTAAATATTCTTTATAAAAGTTCTGTTTATATTGTTAAATAATCCTTCCATACACCATGCGAGCAATTTTTTTGAGAACATTTTGTTGTTTCCTTACAAATTATGCAAATTTCACTATACCAGAAATACCACTCGACTAACGTCTCGTGGTACTTTAAGCAGGATTTTGTTTCGTGAAATTCAAACACATAATTTCCAAAGAATCAACAAAAATTCTCACCTCTTGTGGTACTACCCTTGACAATTCAAACATTAACACGGAACAGCAGTGTTAATTAGAACCCAACAGTGAATGGTCGAGTGGGGAATGCCTACCAAGGCATCAGAATTAATTTTAAATATTTAAATCCTTGGATCCGCAGGCAGAGACTCTACCACTGAGCCACCCATCCCCTAATGTTGTCTGTATTTTTTAATAAATTAGTTAATTCCTCTAATCATTCACAGTGTTTGTTATACTCGTACGAGCTCGAATTATTTTCAGTTTCAAACTCAAATAATTCTGGTAATCTACAGCTTGATGTTAAATCTCTAACCCAGTGGTGTATTAAAAATTTACTGAAACTCAATGTTAACAAATAATGAAAAAGTATAACTTTGTTAAAACACATATTTCAAGAAAACACCGAGCTAGAATTTATAAATAATATATTCAGAATTAATAAAGAACAAAGAAGTAATAATCGCCTAAATATATCGCTGATGTATCTGTTACCACCGTCTCGTATTGAATACCCCATGGAGTCGTCCAGCTATCACATACGTCACGATTCTCGTTAGTCACGTCTAAAGATCCGCAATGCCGGTATCTATGGTACCGCCGTTATAGAGAGATGAGAACTATTATTCTCATTTGGAGCATGTTCTATTCCCATACGAAATGTATATCATTTCAAAACCATAATACTGAGACGATTTGGGAGTATTATTTTTATATGATCTCACATTAGCGGTACAAATTAAATAAATAATAGATATCGCATCTGCGGGATCTCTGCCCTTTTCATCTAGTATTAAATTATAAATCTAAACATTTTCAGCCTTGTGTTCCATAAGATACTCGAATTGAGACTCTCACTCTATATGATATTATGAATAATTCGACAATCGCGAGCTATTTAACCATGAAAATATAGAACGGGTTGAGGGAATTAGGAGTTTTCCAACACAATGATTCCCTGAAACTATACTATAAAGGAGTTGAATATCTTTATGAATATATTATTCATACAAATTCAAAAGTTAAAGTGAACAGGCCGTTAAAAATTCAGTTGAATTGTTCCAATAATACCTAGAGCATACGTTTTTGATATTTGATTTTGCTTCTAGTTTTTTTGTTTCTTGATTCCTTTACACTTTGTTTCCTAACTAATTTAGTGTACATGTTTTCCAATTAAGATGGTGTACCTGTTTAGTTGGCGAACTTTTTGCAAATAATTGTGAAGTGTAAAACAGGAATTATTGCAATAAAAATTTAGAATTTTTAACTAGCTCTTACACTATTTTTACTTGGAAAAACAATTCTATAAATAACATTTTTTAGTAACAATTATTTAAAAAAACATTTTATTCGTATATTTTAGGTTTGCCATCGGTTTCAATCGTGCGCTTACAGATCTAACCAGTGGAGATACAGAGGACGATGTGACAGTATACAATTTTCCGTAGACCGTAGAATATTCGTTGTTGGCTTTGGTTTATACGGATCTTCTAATGGAGCTGCCGATTATGCCGTTAAAATCGAATTGAAACGATTGGGAAGAGTTCTGGCTGAGAATAATACAAAGTTTTTCTCGGACGGTTCTAGTAACACATTTCATGTCTACTTTGATAATCCTATACAGATAGAACCGGAATTGTTTTATACAGGTAATTTTTTATATATTTGTTAGTTACTGTCAGTATTTTTATGTGAATACAGGTAAACCTGGTACAGTATGGCATTTTGCTTTAGTGTTATTTAAGAATTAGGGAAATTGGGATTTTAAATAAAATCGTAAAGAGATTAATTTAATAACTATTGGTAAAAAAAAGGTTTATGAATAATACAGTCAATTTGTTCTCAAAAGGGCCCCTAGCGGGAAAGTTTTGGGGTAGTGTTGATTTCATTCATTTTATGATTTTAAAAACATTTTAAAAATGAAAAGAAAATAGAAATTTTTTTCACACAATCATAAATAGAAAAGCCTATAAATATATGTAGGTAAATGTATTTGTTTTATTCTTATTTTGCAAATTCAAGAGACATTCAGCACATTTTCTATATACCATTGAATAGTCTTCGTCCAATGATAAGCTAATTACGCGGCCCCTAAACGTTCAATATATATAATCGTACAAGTTTAAGACTTGTACAACACAAAATGTGATGTAATCGAACCAATATTTTGCCATCTTATTTGTAATTGCGGAAGTCAGCTGTATTATGTAAAAATATGATCGCCTAGGGGGATAATGGTATACTTTTGTATGTACTTGTAATAGTTTCATTCTGTTTATTACATTAATACGAAAAATAAAAATAATTTATGAAATTCATAATTAGTAGTACCTAAGTCTACTTAAGTTGCCAACATAAGGGACATTTTTTTATTAATAATTTTACGAAAAAAAAGTTATTCTTCATAAAAAATTCTGCATGTTCTAAAATCTAAAATGCAATCATCAGATATCAAATTTTTTTAGTCATATACGAGGTTTCTCAAAAAATATGAATTTGATTCAAGAGTAAAGTACTTTTATTTTTGATAATATAAAAAAAGTTGATCAGAATTGAAAGGTACATTCAGATATGAAATTACATCAATTTAAAATTGAATCCTAGATTTGGTTAAATTTTCATTTTTATTAAGAGGTAAGTTTCTAAAAAGTAAAAACCTTGTTTTATAACGCAAAGGGATGTAAAAATTTATAATTTTATTCCTAATGGCATCCTTAAGGTATATTTGTGATGAAACTTTTAGGCATTTGATCTCAATAATGCCATCACATCCGATAAGGCCATCTGGACTGGTATCAAATATACAATGTTCTACATCAACAAATAAGCCACATGCAGTAACTTTAAAACATTCATTTTGGAATTGCTTTCTTGCTAGTGGTTCATGTTCTAAACTATATTTTGTTGAATCGTTTCCCCTAAAAGTTGAATACAACAAATTCTTAACTTTGGCCTCACAAGAAGTGCTTTGTCTCATTTTGCCTATATCTCCAAAGTGAGATGCAGTTAGATGCACACTTCTTGCTTGGTGCCACTCCTCTGGTTTTCATTTCAAATTCTTGGATCTCCTTCTAGGTAAGCTCAAGTTGTTTCAGAAATTCTACCTCTTTTAGCAAATACTGTTCCTCGGGGAGATCTGATTCTCCTTGAGCATCTGGTCCATAATCTTTATCTGCTGCAGCAACAATTTTCTTTTTTCTTATTATGGACCGTTTTAACCGTAACAGACGTTTCCTTTTAGACCTTTTTGACAAACGTATATGTCAAATTTATTGATGTTTTTGTTAAAAGTATGGTTAGAATTAAATGTTAGTGGAATCAAAATGACATCACACCGAATTAGCGTATTGTGAAATTCAACCCTTGGCGCTGTTCTTTAAATGGGTACATATCCTTAAATAAACAAGCAAATGGAATATGGTCACTGCATATGACAGTTTCTTCAAATAAATGCGCTACATCTACTATTCTTTGACCTTCCAAAACAATCTCATTATTGTGAAATATGTGTTGAAATTGTACTTCAGTTTCCATTTCTGGCAGTACTCTATATAACATAATAAAATATATTAGTAAACGTAGTAGACAAAAACTTACATTTCCTCAATAGTCACATTTTCAACCAAGTTATCTGTTAAAATATCTCCTTTTGACTTACAATTCAATAAAAAAATATATTCCAATAAGAAAAGAAATAAAGAAACAAAAGTACACACTTACTCTTTATTGTCTGAAGATAGTGGGGTAGGGCAATAATCATGACCTTGCTGGAACTGATCCCAAGGAAAAACATCAAGCGATTCCCTAAAATTAATTTTGAAATTACGTAGAAAGGTGTGTTGAAAATATGAATAAATAATTCATATCAAGCTATCACATATAATAACATTTTTAGGGCAATAAATAACGACACAAAACAAATGCATAATCGCTATTGTCTATAGCAAACAGTTATGAAAAATGTCTTACTGTTCAACAGTGTTGGTGATGGTGCCTCCTGAGGTGTCTTCTGATTCCTCAGAGATCTAAAATCAAGTTGTAGAAATATAAAAATACCAATATATATTAAAGATTAGAAAAAATAAGCTAAATATCATGCGGTTCCCTAAAATGAAGTATAAAATTACTTAGAAGATATGAATAAATAATTCATATCAAGCTGTCACAAATAATAACATTTTTAATTTGAATGTCGGGACTCTTCTTCATTGAGGAACCGCACTAAAATTGTTTTTCCCTGGGGGAAAAACCATAATGATAAAGATTTCATTTTTATTTTGAAGTCTGTCGATGCACCGTAAAAGGCAAATGACAGATGAAGCAGACATATGACAAGTGATTTGAAGGAATTGATATTTTAACATTTAGTATAATAATCATATAATAATACTCTCCCTAATTCACCCCCTTACGAGTGAATTTTAACCCCAAAAGCTGAGCTTGTCCGGGGAAAGGGACGGCTATTATTATTATTTGCCGTGGCGCTCCGGGGCGACTTAAAGATGATTGATGGTGCCATTTGACTTACAGGTGAGGAAAACCCGGAAAACCTCACCCACCATCATCGAGACGGTAATGTATGGCGATTTTTTTTAATCTGCATGTCATATCAACAGAAATTGAATTTGTATTAATACGCCACACAACAAATCCTAAACCGAACCATGCAATTTAATTAAAAATCCACATGGTCTGGTCTGGGATTCGAAACCCAGCAGTCTCAGACTCATAAACTTGCCTATAAATGAATATAAGCGCGATAGACCGCTACACCACCGTGCCCGACTGTGAGAAAATAAAATACAAAAAACCCTAAATTGTGAATATTGACAGATATGAATGATTAATGTTGTTTTTGAAAATGAATTTGATTAGTGGCGAGAAATTTTGAACTACAAACATTCTTTAAATTATAAATGAGTTACTACAAATTTACAAAGGGAATAAATGACGTTACATGACAGATTTAATAAAAATGAGAGTAAAAACAAAGAATGAAATACGTTAAAAAGCCAATAGTAAGCTGAAACGAAAATTCCCTCTTTGGTTTCGAGGTTGATAATGTAATCAATATCTATAGAGAGTTATTCGATTACGTTTTTGTTGATAGAAGGTTTTTGTGTAAATTTTAGTCCTAAAGAAAGGAATTCTACTTTCTTGTTGTTAAAAGAAATGTTAGACAAGTTTTTTACTCTATCGTGAAAATTTAATGAGGAGAATTTGTGGTTATTTTCTCTTATGTTATTATTGTGTCTGAATTTGGATTATATTTATTTTTTAATCTGAGGAATTTACAATAGGCATAAACGTTGTAAATTCCTCGTTGTTGAAACTACCAAGATATTGGATAATGTTCAATTTATCACTCATGTGCTCAGTTCTTTATGAATAAAGTTTATTTGACTTTAAATCGGTATTGCCAGTGTACCAGGAATCATCCACAATATATCAGAGTGCTTTATTTTGAAATATATGCCTGATATCGATATATTAGTTTGTCTTAACACAATCCCAAAGCTGTACTTCCTAAATCCATACTGGTTTCAAGGCTAAGATTAGCAATATATTATGTACTGATAATTATAATTTTCTACCAATTATCTAGTATAATGAAACAATTCATTGATTTTCTCTATCAGAACTGTTTTTTCGGTTTTTACTTTCTCTGATCACTTTGTGTTTCTTTAATAGCAGCTTCTCAAAGAGTTGATATCACTGACAATAGAGAATGTATGATTGACGTTTAGTTGGTGGTTTCCCAGGTTACAGGATCATAATGACTTGCAATCTTCCATTCACTTAGTAAATGTTTTAGTCTGAAAGGTACATTTATCTATCAAATTTGTAAGTTTGACAATGCTTTCTTCTTCAGCTCTTCTCCTGTAATGAGATCGTAACCTTTTTTGAATTGATGTTTGTTTTTATTTCTCCAATTTCTCCAGTTAGCTGATGCTCTATTTTTAGATAAGAAACCCAGCCTTTTGAACAAAAAGCTCTGAGTTTGACTTACACTTAGCAAATTTGCCAGAGAGAACCATTAAAAAACCTACTTGGTTTTATCCAAAGAGCTTCTTTACTTTAAACAATTCCTAAATTATTGTTCTTCAAAAAAATATACTTTTATTTGAACTATGATGTATGTAAATCGATTAGAAAACATGAGGTGCAGTCAGTGAGGCGAGCACACTTTTATGTTAAATTAAATTTAATAAAATCAAGCTAGAGGTATCGGCTTTACAAATCCATCATCCATCATGAAATTACAACTTAACTGTTTTTTTTTTTTTCGCAACTGCTAAATTGTATCGTTCAGAAAGATTTGTAAAGGTGAAAGTGCTCGCCTACATACTAATTTACTCATCTAATTCTCTTCACCTGATATTGATTATTTTATATATTTCAGCTTCTGTTATTCTTGACGGTGCAGAACTAAGTTACTTCGGCCAAGAAGGACTGAGCGAAACTACAATTGGCCAAGTAACTTTTCAATTCCAATGCAGCTCAGAAAGTACAAATGGCACGGGAGTACAAGGAGGACAAATACCGGAACTCATTTTTTATGGGCCTTCTGTGAATCTCTAGAATCTATTGTATTACGAATAGAGTAGGTCATGTGTATTGAATCCAAATCTGCATTTTATAAATTATATAATACAGTTATTATTAAGTTCTACAAAAAAAATATAGTTAATTCAATTTGTGAATAATGGACACAAAAAAATAAAGTTTAACTTACCTATCTGTTTACTGTTTTAGTTTTGTCGACATGATTTCTAAATATAATTTAAAGTTAATAATATAAAAAATTTCCAGGGAAAAATATTGGACTTGGTTTTGAGCTCAGAAGACAACAAATTTATGTGCAGTAGAAAGGGAACTGGTTCCTTTTGTAAAATAGAATCTCTACCATCCTACTCTCAATATAACTATTAATATTTCAAAAAATTTTAACAAATCTGCATCTTATAATAGAAAAGAAGCTGATTTTTTGTAGTTAAGTACATGCGTTAGGGAGACGGATTGGGAAAATGTATTAAATGATTAAAATGTAAATTCAATATAATTTTATTAAAAGGGAAAAATACAAAATTTCCATTTTTGTGTAATACTGAAATAAAAAAATTATTAAAAGAAAAAAAAAAGGTATTGTAAACTAAAAACTTTCAACAGAAATTTAATGATATAAACAAAAATATGATGTGTCCAACACATGACTTTCCTATCTAGTTAACCTATTGCGGCATCTCTAAAAATGTTTAGAGGATAAACTTATACATTTTCCACATACATCTACCTCGAAACATTTTTCTATAGATATTCATTGAAAACGAAAATACTGAAAAATTTAAATTTAGCACTTTTCCTCCAATTTTTCCATTACGGTCCATTTTAGAAAAGTCATTTAAAAACAAAAATTATAGAGATCGATATCGCAAACAACTTTTAGTTTAACAATTTTCTTAAAAATCAGAATTTTGCACATTTTGTCAAATTTCTCGAAATCTAATCAGGTCACCTCAGGTCGAAATAAAACTTAAGTTTAAAATTTAATATTTTTTAATTTATCCGTTTTAGAGTTTTCTTCAAAATTCAAAATTTACACATTTTCTCAAATATCTCGAATACGGTCCATTTTAGAGAAATTATGTATAGAATAAAAATTATAGAGAATTATATAACAAACAACTTTTATTTGAACAATTTTTATAAAAAATTATTTTTTTTACATTTTGTCAATTTTCTCGAATACGGACCATTTAAGGAAAATTTTGCATAAAACAGAAATTATAGATAATTATATTAGAAGTAACTTTTATTTGAAAAAATTTCTTCTCCAAACGTAAATAACAGATATATTCCATAAAATATAAAAATGACCACCTATAAAGTACCCCCTCAGATGTTCCGACTCTGCCCAAAATCTAATCAGCTCATTGGACGCTGAAACAAAGCTTAAGTTTAAAATTTGGTGTTTTTCTCTTTATCGGTTCATGAGTTATGCGACCTACAGACACACACACACACACAGACATCATCGCGAAAATGTAAAAAATTTAATAAAATCAGAACAACGAAAATGCTTATGTAATTTGGAGAAAGACATTTCTATTGATGTGAATAGTTTTTGGACTTTCATTAAAAACAAAAGAGAAAATAGTTCAAATTTAGGAAATTTTTTTACGAGGAAAAGAGTATAGATCACAATTAGATATCAGAAATGTTTGTAGAATTTTTCTTTCGGTCTACTGTTCTTAGCAGTCGTCATATGACACAGTATTTGAAGATTCATATACAACTTGTAATGAATCATTTACGGTAAATAAAATAATTGAAAGCTATTTTTCATGAAGCAATAATAAAACTTACACCTAAAAGGTCAGCCGGTACGGATGGTATTCCACTTTATATAATAAAAGGATGCAGTAGTGAATGCCATTGCTACACATCATTAATTTAATAATAAAATCCAAAGATTGTCCTGATATTTGGAAAACACCAATATGTACCCCAATTCGTAAATCTAAAAATAGAACTAATATAGAGAACTATCGACCAATCTCGATAATGTGTTCTCCAGCAAAGTTATTTGAACAAATTTTTCATAGACCAGGGTCGATAATTAAAAAAAAAAAAAAAACAAAAGAAATAGAATGAAACCCATTGGAAAAGGTAAAGAATATAACAGAAATGAAAGGAAAAATAATTTACGGGCGAATTGAGGTCTTGTTTATTTGCAACTAATAAATGTTAGTAAGAAATACCCAGATAGCACACGACGTCTGAAAGACGTCTTTTTTGTGTCTTGGTTTGGTCTCAATGTCCTAGGACGTTATTAAGACGTCTTGCAAAAGCCATAATTCAGACGTATTAATGCGAGAGCTCAAAGACGTTCTTAAGACGTCTTGCCAAATCCATATATTAATGTGAAAATTCAAAGACGTCTTACAAACGTCTTTCAGTCGGACGAAAACTTGCACGGTTTACATAATTACAATTTAACAAGAAGAATCAAAGTTGATTTTAGGCGATCTACCAGTAACAAGTGGTACAAACCGAGACGTTTAGTCGGTTGATGGTCATTAAAATTTTTGCAGTGTGACGTCATGAATTAGCCCTTTATTACGTCACCGTTATGTCAAACTTCAACCGGAGATTACTCAGCTCCTTACTTGGGTAGAGACTAGACAGAGAGTAGAGAGTGGTTAATTGAATGACTTGTTTATTGTGTAAAGTACAGAGAAGTACGAAAATATAATTATTGTATCCATATCCATAGATATACATATTATAACTTCTATCAGAGAAAGTTGTTGTCTCTGCTTGTATACATTATTATTGTCAAATTCGGAGAGATTCCAAACAATGGCCGAGAAATATCAACTCAGTATTAATCTAGAAGGACAAGACATTCTAGTCGAGGTTGGAGACCTAGAAACTGCCAACCTTTTGTTAAATGGTAATTAAAGTATTTCTAGTTGTAGCAGCCTTTTGTTACTATGATTTTTTAGATCACATTGCAGCTGTCAAATTTATTGAAGGTATGAACAAAAAAAAGTTGGTGAATAATGAGATTGTTCCTGCTGAAAGTTTTTCAGTCTTAGGCGAATGTTCTTTTGTGGACTCCCTTGATAATGAGATTGGTCCTGGTCAAAGTTCCTCAGCCTCGGGTGAATATTCTTTTAGGGACTCATCTGATGAAAATGAGGAATTGGATGATAGTAACGTTGATAATAGTAGAGATGTTGTCAACGTAGAAGCCACCAGCGAAATTTGGACAAAGAAAAAAAAACAGATATTGACAATGAAGCAACGAGTGTTCTTTTGGCATTAAGACAAAAATACTGGAAACAGTTTGATGACAAAAAAACAAACAAGCGTAAATTGTGGAATTTGATTTCTCAGGAGTTAATAAAGAAAAATTTCAATGTTGGCGAAAATGGAGGGGAAAAGTGTCGTCAAAAATTTTGTAATTTGACAAAAAGGGTCCGGTAAAGGATCCTGAGGTGCGAAATTCACAAAAATTTTTTAAACACTCAAAAGTAACTAGTTTCTATAGTAAATTTTCGAAAAAAAATTTATGGATGAGCAGTACTTTTCGAAAAAAATTGAATTAAAAGTCCCAATTTTACAGGTTATAATCACAAAACGATTACTAAATGACAGTTTCTGACGTTTCTGTCTTAAAAATAACAAACGTTGCCAAGTTGTTAATGAAATTATAAGTTTAAGGATTATTTAAATTATAATCATAAATTTTTCGTTTGGTTTAAAAAGATAAGTACGGTAATAATCGTATATAAAATGCAAAAATTAATATATCAACCAAATTAATTTTAAAAATGCAGCTCAAAAATACTACATACAAAATTAAAAAGTGAAATTAATTAAATCACTCAACATGTAATACATAGACAACTTTTTTTAAATTTTCTTTCACTCAAAACGAAACAACGACTTCCGGTAGCGTGGCGGCTTCGCCGCCACCAAAAAATTTTAATCCATACCTGGCTACGCCTACCGGCATAGATTCCAACGGCCTGGACACAGCTCAAATTAAAATGAAAAGTCTCACATAACACATTATATAATCCAAAATCATACATTTTTCGTTTGCTTCAAAAAGATAAGTACGGTAATAATCGTATATCAAATGAAAAAAATAATATATCAACCAAATTAATTTTAAGAATGCAGCTCAAAAAAACTACATACAAAATTAAAAAGTGAAATTAATTAAATCACTTAACATATAATGCCTAGACAACTTTTTTAAATTTTCTTTTACTCAAAACGACTTCCCGTAGGGTGGCGGCTTCGCCGCCACCAAAAAATTTTAACCCATACCTGGCTACGCCTACCGGCATAGACTCCAACGGCCTGGACACAGCTCAAATTGAAATGAAAAGTCTCAAATAACACATTATAATCAAAAATCATACATTTTTCGTTTGCTTCAAAAAGATAAGCACGGTAATAATCGTATCTAAAATGAAAAAATTAATATATCAACCAAATTAATTTTAAAACTGCAGATCAAAAAAAACTACATACAAAATTAAAATTAATTAAATCACTTAACATGTACCTAATACCTAGACAACTTTTTTTAAATTTTCTTTCACCCAAAACAACGACTTCCCGTAGCGTGGCGGCTTCGCCGCCACCAAAAAATTTCAACCCATACCTGGCTACGCCTACCGGCATAGACTCCAACGGCCTGGACACAGCTCAAATTGAAATGTCTCAAATAACACATTATATTTTCACCTATAACTTATTTTCTTCTCATTCAAACAGAAATCGTAAACTTGGAAATTATCAGTGATAAAAATCAATATAGTATGGCAACGTTGCAAACTCGAGGACCCTATGTGTCAAGAACTGACAATTTCATGGAATCACTTTATTTTAGGTTTTATGGAAGGAAATTATTAAAAGTTAGGTTAAATCAGTCCAAATATTGCATTTTATTATAATATAAATAAAAATAGCAAATGAAACGTATCCTTCCATATTTAATTTCAGTTAAAATATCATAAAAAGTAAGTTACTTCAATATATTAATGCTAAAATTATGAAATTCGCACCTCAGGATCCTTTACCAGAACCGACAAAAATATATTACGCATACATGAAAAATCAAAAAACTACTGGAGAGGCCGGAAAGGATGAACCTCAATTTTTTCAACAAATGCATTCTATTTTAGGTTTGTACAATAATACATTCACATATAAAAAGCTA